GTTAGAGAAACTTGACAAGCATAAACCTTTTTAAATGATTACAATACATTTTCTATAGTACATCTTTAAATAAAATTCAACTCCTTTTAATGATGTATTTAGAACAAGTCACTTGTGTGAAATTATTTTTCACTGTCATTTAAATTAATAATTTATTCATTATGTTCTCTTATTTAATTTTCTTTGATTTTTACTTACAATATTTGTTTAGCATGTTATGATTAAACAAAAATAAATTGTACAGCAATAACAGTAATACACGTTGTCTTTTAAGAATTGAAACAGATTGATTTACATATATTATTATCCTACTAGAATGTTTTTCTGTATTTTTTTTTTATCATTCCACCCCAAGTAAGTCAATAAAGCCACTAGGAGGTTATTGAGTATGTGAGGAGGAGGAAAAAAAAAACACTATTAAGGAGAGAGAACAATAACAGCAGGAATTAAGACAGAAGATAATGATAAATTAACATTTTTGAAGGTCAAAGTTGACTGGGAAACCAGAAGAGAGTTCCATAAGCAAGAAAAAAAAAAACTGTTAGTATCTGTTACATCTAGTCATTTCAACTGTAAAATGAGGAGACCTTGCCACCAATCTAGTACTGTACTTCGAGGTACTATAGAGCAAAATTCAGTACAACAATTACTATAAAAGTATTTATAGAAAAAGCACAGGGAAGCTATGTAGAAGAAGTACTAGACCAGATGTGGCAGCAATATACAAAGCCTGGATGAATGGTAGATATATATAAGAGATATATTCTGGTGAGAAATATTGTCAAGCACAATACAGTGAACCAACTTTCCTAGCAGCAGACTTAGCAATTGATTCAATATAATCTTTCCATTTCATGTCAGCAGAAAATGTTAGTCAGAGAAGATGCAGTGAGTCACTCTCCCGGAGATTGGTATCAGCCATGCTGATGGAAGGTAAAAAAAAGGTTCTCTCCAATGATTAAAAGAGAGCAATTTAGTTTTGGAGGCATTAAAATTAACAAACCTTTCCTTGCCCCAGTTAACAACTGACTGTAGGTCACTTTTGAGACCAGCTGCCAATTTCACCGTATCAAACTGATGAGATTTACTATTAAGACAGGAGTAAATAGTAGCATTATCAGCATAGATACAGAGTTGAGAACTGATGACATCAGGAAGGTTGTTGATAAAAATTAGGAACAATGTAGGTCCAAGGATAGAGCCCTGAAAAACGCCTGCATTAATGCAAAAAGATCTAGAACAGTGGCCATTCAAGACAACTTTCATTTTGCAATTTGATAAGTTTGAATCAGTTTAAAAATTTGTCCAGAAATACCATTACCTTTCAACTTGTGAAGACAGTATGTCAAACTCTGTCAAATGCCTTTGAGATAACCAAAGCAACAGCCCAATATTCACCATTCTTATCTAAAGCTTGATAGACTCTTTTAGTGATAATTGTTAATATATCAGCAGTTGACCTAGAAAAGTGGAAGCCATATTGCTTATCGGAAAGAAAACTCTGCAAGGTTAGATGCTTAACCAATTCAGAGTTGATTAGAGTATCTAATACTTTGCCAAAAATAGATAAAAAGTTAATAGGCTCTTTTGAATACTAAGTATTGAATCATACTTTTATTTGATAAGGCATATCTATTATAAAACAAAAATCTATTAATTCTATCAGCAAAAAATAGATAACAGTATGTCAACTGTTACTAGCCAATATAGCGAGAAGGTATGTAGATTTGCTTAAGCTGGGTATATGAAACAATACCTACAGAATTGTACTGACAGCAATCATTTATTGCTTTGGAACACAAGAAAACAAAGCAGAAGCAACTGGGTGCTGTAATAATGAGAACAATTTTATTGCTGTTTTATTCTGCTTATGCTGCTTGAGGTTTTTGGAACAAAGGCTGAACAGGAGACTACCATTCAAGATGTTATTCAAGGGAACCAATCAGATTCCTATGTTTTGCTCTTATATGGTAAACATGTTTAACTGAATTCCACATAAAATTGGTGACACCATGGAAATTTAGAGATTGTTTTGAATTGCATTGATCAAAGCCAATTAAGCAATATTAGTCCTAAAATGAAGTGATCAATCTGGATCCCTCTCACATTGTTTTATAACTCTTAAACAATCTGTAACAATTCTTAAAACAGACTGTCTTCATGATTATGTTAATCCCTTTTATGATATCTGAAGTTTTGGGAAATCTTATCTAGTTTTTCAGTACCTCTCTACAATTCTGGAAAAGCCTGTATGTTTTTCATGTTATCCAGGCACATTTCTTTTAGAGATCATTTTGGCATGACAATGTACATATTTTCACTAAAGTTTGCTATAATAAATGTAATGTTTATAAATTTAGTGAAAACAGAATTCTCCACAAATTATTATTATTATCATCTTTAATTATAGGTTTTCAATGTAACAGTTTTATTGAATAATTTAATAAAGATTTTTGTAATGAAGTTGAAAGCTTTGAGAAAAGCTGAAGTTCTGACTGAATATAAAAATTTACTTTATTATTAATTCTAACTTATAATCAATGTCAACAGAACAAAAAAGACCTTAAGTAAATAGAGATAAAAAAAATAAAATTGCATTTAAAAGTGAAGTAAAGAACTTAAAATAGATCAGCTATCACCCATCAATAAGAACATCTCTATTAAATATACCCACACCCCTACATTTCATACACTCCAATATATGACAAATCTATGACAAAGTGGGAAAAGCTTTTGTGTGATGCATTTTATCTTTTAGGATTTCATTGGACTAAAGTGATATTTAGGTTGATATAACTTACACATGCACATGAAGGAGAGGAGATACTGAAATTTAAATTAAGTTAAAACAAAAATATTTTAGGTATATTTCATTTAGTTTTTTTTTTTTATCACTTTTGTTATTAAATATCCCACATTATGATAATAGAAGATCAGCCAAGAAAGGTGAAATGTTCCAAGAAACTGGATGTAAATTTACTGTGTAGCAATAAAAATTATGGTCAGACTCATTACAATGAGCAACTAATGCATTGACGGTGTAGTTTTGTAAAAGATTCCTTTTGTGTTCACATAATCTTTTATTGAAATTTGAGATTTCTCCTATGTATTCTTTGTGGCAATTATTACAGTAAATTCTCCATTCAAGTTTTAGCTTATTATTTTGTTTTGTATTAATTAAATCTTTTATTGTTTTAGAATTTAAATTTAAAATTTTCAGTATCTTCTCTTTTGTGCATATGTGTAGTTATATCAACATCACTTTAGTCCGATGAAGTTCTAAAGGATGAAACATATTACACAAAAACTTTTCCCACTTTGTCAAAAGATTTCCCTAGAATTGTTATTGATACATAAAAATTTATATATCATTTTCCCATATATATATATATATATGTGTGTGTGTGTGAAGCAAGAAATCAATATATCTATAAAAAAAAACAATTAAAAATAAATAATCTTTACAGCAATAAATTTTTTTATTTATTTCTGTAAGTTACTGTAGTTTAAATTTGAGTGTTTCCCTACCAGAAAATACAAATATTCTGTACATTGATAATATCTATTTTAACCAAAAAAATTACTATCACCTGTCTAGAAATTAAACATTACTGAATGATATAATGAATACTTTTTATCACAGTATAAGATTAATTTTAATATAATTTAATATAATGCTTAAAATGAGACATGATTGCTCAATCTGTATTTTGTGTTTAGTTATATATATTATTTTAACCTGAAAGAAAAGTACTTTATTCAAGAATAAAGTACTTTTCTTAGTAAGTTTTTTCTTAATTAGTAAGTTTTTCATTTTTAAAATCTAAGGATATTGAAAACAACTAATAAAAAACAAATAAAGAAAGATTTTTTTTGTACATATACCCAACTTTAAGATATTTTTTAAAATAAACTAGAACTATGTTAAAATTTCATTGGAATGTAGATTTTACACTTAAAGATTATCTGTAAAAGGTTTCCATTTAATGACATAATCAAGTTAACAATTACAAGAGACTTGCTCAAAATATAATTTTACTGGGAGTGTTACCATAGATATGTAATGATAGTCTATAATGATTATGCCAAGCATATTTTATGATCATCATGCCAATTTGATCTTGTGTCTTTCTTTGCTCACTAAGATATATATCTTAGTGAGTATGTGACCTTGATAGGAGGTAAATTTAAATAAATTAAATACAACATGAATAAGTAATTTTAAGTTTGTTTAATTTCCATCAACATTTCTATCAACACAAATTTGTAGAATTCTAGTGAGTTAGAAGTTATATCTAACAGGAGCTAATAGATGACTGGCAAAATAATTCTGGTATTGTTCATTGAATATTTTTCAAATATGTAACTTAAGCCAGTTATATTGGGGGTGCTGCAGTATATATAATTTTATCTTTTGTATTGAGAAGATTTATTTTTCTTTTTTTCTGAGCCCAAATCAGTATAGATTGTTTATCCATACAAGTTCCAATGGATGTATTATTTATCCCAATTGTTTGTCAGCTTATAATAAAGCACAGCTGAATTATTGAGTATAGGTTCTTCCATTTAAGATAGAATATTTTTCAATGTTGGTTATCAATCATTTCTAGATCCTACCATTATAACCTTATCTAATGAAGAATGCAAACAAAAGGTTTTAAAATGAGGAATGACTGACAATAACCAATTAAACACTGGGTTTCTTACAGCAGAAACCAATTATATCTATATAGCAGACACAATACAATATTAATTTCAAAGTTCTGTAGATATTTTCTCATTATTAAAATAATGCACAAGGTTATTTACCAATACTGTTCAGTAACATTTTTTCTACTGATAAATATGCAAGTTTTCTATATGCATAAAGAAATAATTGAGATTTAATTATAAAAAAAAGGCTGCACACAGCTTTAGCATCTTTCTTCTGTGAATACTAGACACATTGAATGCAAAATAGAAAGTGTAGAAAAATGAAAAAAATGTTCAAATACACTCACATGGGCCTTGTTTTCCTTGAAAGCCAACAGACGTGGAACCTGAATCAGAGCTAGGTTGGGAACTAGCATTTTGATTAGGACTGGTGTTTCTTCCAGGAAATCGTCGTCTGAAATAAAAAATAAGTTATATTTTAAGATTTTTAGGATAAAGATACATAATTATTAAAGAACAATAATAAATGAAATGAACACATCATATTTTGAACTGTACTTCAGGTAAAAATCATCAAAATCAGAGTAGGTTAAAAAGTAAATAAAGCTATTAAATATATCCACACTATAACTAAATCAATGCAGTCAAAATGAAGATAGTAATATGCATTTTGTGAATAGAAAATCCATTGCATATTTAAGTTAATGCCTTTGTACACTAAATGGATGCAACATTAACAACATAATTCTGCTCACACACAAGCCTACTTTATGCAATTAATTCAACACAATTTTTATCCCTTATAAAGACATATTTGCATTAGGCAATCAATGCAAAGAATTACAATGAATCTCTGTCTGTTCAAATTATCAAGTCTTATAAAAAAAAAAAAAAAAAAACATTTGTGTCACATAATGCCAAAATAGTTTAGATTAATAAAAAAAAAAAAAGACACTTTTCATTTATGCCATAATTACATCTTAGCAATTTGAGAAAAATATTTGTACAAAGTTTTACCAAACACAATTTTTTTTTCTTGTGATCACTTTTCATCAGATTTCTACAGACTTTGATGCTTCTTTCAATATTAGGATCTATATTTAGATAAAAATCATTGACAACTTCAAGTTTAAATCCTTATTCAAGATCTTTCACCTCATTTTTAACCGTTTCACTCTCTTTGCCTTTGAATGATGCTAGATTTCTTCAGTTCATTAATTACAATGTTGTTATATTTAGTGGTAATAATACAACTTTCATTCAAATCTTCCAATATAAAGCAGTGAAACCAATCTAACTTGCAGCAAGTTTATATAGTCCATTGTAATTTATATCCTTTAAGCATCAAAAAGATGTTTAAAGCATTGATTTTAATTTTTTTTTTTTTAAATACAAATTGGGATTCACTTTTGGTTATAATCTTCAATTCAAAGGTGAAGCAGCTGTAACATTTCAAATATTAATGAACTTGTTTTAAGTAATTTGCATGCTTAGGGAAACTGATGCAACTTTACATTGATCTTTACATACTCTTACTTTAAATTGTTCACACTATTGACTCAGTTTTGGCTTATCTTGTCTAATCACTGTTTTCTTATAAAGTTAATTGTTTCTTTGTTTTAAATATTATTGTTAGCCTCTTTCAATAATTCATTTTTATCAGTTGGGATAAACATAAAAAAAAAAAAAAAAAGGTCTATCAAGTTTGGGGCTAAAAAGAAAGCAAGAGAGAAAGGAACAATACCCAATAACAGAATTTTTAAAACTTGTCTTTTGGTTGTTACCCCCCCCCCCCAAAAAAAAAAACAATATTTGAAGGCATTTAAATTTCACCTATGGAACTTCAACCCAGTATACCCTAAGTCTTATGTGCTAAGTTGAAGTATCATGTAGGTTAAGTTATCAGACTCTATAATACTTTAATATTAAATGTAAATTGAGAGATGGGGGTGGTATCCTTATATGCTATTAAATATAAAGTCCTATGCTTAGACTATAATCAAAGACTCATTATGGCATTAAAAGTTACAAGTTTGCAAGTTAAAGGCTTGATCATTATTAAATTAAAGATAAAGTTTATTTCGAGTATAACAACTCAACAAATAACTTTAATAGTTTTTTTTTTTTTTTTTTTGTTAAATCTATACTTCAGATAGTCCAGAGAAACTAACCCCTATTAGAATTATTTGATACTTTTCCATTCTTCTGTATGCTGGTTTTCCTCCTACCACCAGAGTGTTTAGTGTACTTATATAATAAGTTTTAATTTATTTTAAATTTGTTGACAAAGAAGTTTGTTAACATTAATAATGGCTAAATTTTGGGGGAAAATGTATGACAAGTGGAAAAAGTTTTCATGCTATGTCCTTTAGGACTTCATTGGACTAAATTTGTTTATGTTGGTGTGACTACATATTCGCATGAATGAGAGATGCTGGGAATTCTAAATTTTAAATAACTTTTGTGCTTAGGGTTTTGGATGTATAGTCTAGCTGATTTAATTTAGATTCTTTTTTGCTTTCGTTATTAGATATCCCCCACTGTGATAATAGATCTGCCAAAAATGGTAAAATGTTGCAAGAGTCTGGGTGTAAATTTACTGTGGATGATCAAGGCACTTTAAACATTTTTGTTTTAGTGAATTGTTTTCTCCTTTGATCAGGATAGTCTTTTTTTATATCAAAATTGTAGTCAGTCTTGTTATGGTGAGCAATTAATGCATTTAATGGGTTGTTCTGTAAAATGTCCCTTTTGTGCTCATAATTCCTTGAGGTTTCTCTTATATATTTTTTGTGTGACAATTGTTACAGGTGATAGGGTAAATTCCTTCAAGTTTTAGCTTATTGTTTTAGATGTAGTTTAACAAATTTTATGTTGTGTTTAGATAAATTCTTTTCAATTGTAGCTGTGATAGTTGGTAGGATATATTTTTTTGATTCATTGGGTTTGGCTGGAGGGGCCGTTTTTCTATTTTGGAATATTCTATGAGACTTTGTTTCGCATTGAATATAAAATAATTAGGGTATTGAAGAAACATTAAAGTGTCTTCATGTAAATATTGAGGGCTGCAAATACTAAGTGCTCTTAGAATCTGATGATTATTCCAGATTTTGTTATAATGAGAATAGAAATTTATTAGATAATTTTTATCAGTTGATTTTCAGTGGGCACTAAGTATTAATCTTTAACATGCTAAATTTTTTCTAGAATTGTTCCCTCTGCCACTGCCTTTTTTTGAGGGTAGAAAAACATGAATACCTACCGTTTTAAAATTGTTATAACTTTCTTTGTATTGTGTGTATAGATTTTATTTTTTGTATACTAATAAAAGAATAGATGAGTAATATTTTGATGTAATGCATTATGTTTTGCATGCATGTTTCGACATTGAAAACAAAAAAAATTGAAACCCAAAAAAGTGACATGCTTTCTAATGCTTACATATGAGAAGACACCAGCATTGAATATAAAAATAATTAGGGTATTGAAGAACCATGAAAGTGTCTTCATGTAAATATTGAGGGCTGCTGTTTGATCTTTCTTTCACCTGACTAGCATATTTATTTGTCTCATTGACAAATGAAGTTATTTTGCTGTTTATAAATAGACAAAATAATTCACCTTCAGAAAGGCTAGCAAGTACATCAATGGTCACCAGTAGGTTCCATAAAATTAGTAAGCCATGTATAATAGTAGCTGCTAGTGGTCATCATTGATTTCTTCTACGTCACTAGCATGGTTATCATCTTCGACAATTTCACTGTCAATATCCACTTGAGTAAGGCCTTCAAAATCACCAGAGTCTGAATCAAAGAAAAACTCCTAAATAAAGGCTTCTTTGGATGTTGATGCTGTCATTTTTGTTTGCGAAAAAAATAATGTGGGTTTAATCAATATGGAACCTCATGTAGAGTCTAGAAGAGTTCAAGATGGTATTGAAAAACGGAAGTTTAGCCTTGTTCCAAGGCAGTAGTTGGCAATTTCCAACTTAAAATACCAGAAATAACAGTTGACAAGTGTTTATTTATAGCTACCATCTCAAGGCAACAGAATGCACCTACAGCTGCAAAGGGAGAGAATTCTATAGCAACAATTTTCACCTGCAATGTGGTAATGGTTAAGCTACTGTTAAATGCAATATAGAACAATATCTAGCAAAGGTAATGTATTGTTTTCTTTCAGTTCTCTTGTATGTTCGACTTTATTTAGTTTATCTACAAGCTAAGGTAAATTAGTATCACAAAGATATATTAACAGAGCATCAATATACTAAAAGTATATTGATTGTTTGGATAAAATATTTTGGAAGGGACCTAATTCGTGAAATTCTAAGAAAATACATGCCATCACTAAGACAAAATCCCATTGTTAATCCAAATTTTTGTTTATAAAAATTATTATTGAATGTGAAATAGCATTGATTGGTGATGAGATAGCAGATTTTTATTATTTTAGCTATTGCTAGAGAGAGGTTTATCTTTCATTTTGTTAGTTCTTTTTTTTATTTTTTTTAAGAGATTTAAGCATTTTTCAACCAAGACATTAGTGTAAAGTGATTTTATATGTAGACTGGCCATGAGTTTTTCAGTCCTATTTATTTCTTTTAGTTTTTCAACTAGGCTGTCTGATATTTGATAACAAAAGTAGAATTTGAAATGCCTTCAATGATTCAATGCTTCTTCCAATTACTTCAGATAATCAAAAACTAACTTATGTATTTCTATAAAAGTAATTATAATGTTAGAATAAACTATGTTTATTAATTTTTAAGTATTCTACTATTAGATTCATAGATAACGCTCTTCTGTATTTAAAAATACATTTTTAAAGTTACAACATACAGGGTATATACATTTACCCATTATTCATTTCATCATAAAATAAAGTTTTTTAGGTTTTTGGTAATGAAAGTTTACGGGTTGATTTTTATATTTATTCACAATATTTTACATGTATTTACAATTCAAAATTACCACCCTTTGCTCTCACCATAGCTTTTAATCTCCTCTCAACTGAAGTCACCACTTCACTCAGAATTGTACCACAACATCATAAGAGCATCTTTAAAGTCTGGCACATTTGAGCATGAGATATGGGAAAAATCGCTCTCCAATATGGGCCATTTTGCAAAGTCCATAGAGGTTTAAAATTATCAGAAGCATCAGTAACCGAAACCATGATATCAGTTGATTTCTGTTGCTTGAAAAATATTTTGACACCTTCAAGAATGTTTTCTGGTGAAGTGGTGTAAACCCTATCATTTTGATAGCTGACTACAGCCTCCACATTGAAAAACTACATGTCCAAACAAACAAAAATTTTGTCTATAGCACACTGCATCTCCAACATTTTCTTCCACCTGCCAAGCCATTTTTTACTTGGAGACACTTGAAGCAACTAGCCCTAAATCCTCTTTCACAATTCTTGTTAGTAATCTATCTGAAATATCGAGTT